GATGATGATGATGATGATGATGATGATGATGATGATGATGATGATGATGATGATGATGCTGGTGGTGGTGGTGGTGGTGGTGATGGTGATGATGATGATGATGATGATATTGATATCATTGATATCATTGATATCATTGATATTGATATTGATATGATATGATGATTATTATCATGATGATGATGTTGAGGAGGAGGAGGAGGTTGCAAGCCTTTTCATCTCTAAAGACGAGTGATGTTCTTGTGAAACTCGATGGCTCTAGACTCTAAACCTAGGACAGGTTAACTAAGAAATATAACTGATATTTGATATTTGATGGATTTAGCTTCGATGGCTGGGATGGAAGAAGGCACTCACTCCTCGCAGTCGGCTTCTCTCTTTTCCTTCTTTTCTTTCCTTTTGCCTTTGGACTTACTTTTCCTGCAAGTCGGACGGAGGGTTCGACACGATGCGGGCGGCGTCACTCCAGCCAATTCCTGGAACACCACACTGAAATGTGCAAGTGGGATGGCTATACTATAGGGCAATGAATCCATGTGTCCTCATTATTCCAACTAATTCCGACCGTCAGACTGGTGCTTGCTGCGGCTTTTGCATGTTTAGACACCTCACAGCCGGAGGTTCTCCACCTTACTATATGCTATGCTTTGGATCCAACATGAAGAGCTGCACTCGACGACTTGGGTTTTGCATGTGGCAAGGGCCGCCTTGGGTTTCGCCCCTCGACTTCGTCTTCGCTCACGGAAGACCCGCAGCGGGAACCACTGGGTGTGGTTCCTGCAGAGGAACATTGCCCACCCCCCCAAGAGAAAAGAACTCATGATACGCTCAATATCAGTTCTCTAAGTGGGTAGGGCCAGAAACCACGGCCCAGCCCTAAAATGGGAACAGGGTATGGAAACATGGAGTTCTTCGATCGGGAGAGGATGGGGAGAGGTCTCCCTTCAGTTTTCATCCGCGAGAAAATGCGTTTCAAACGGCGCGAGAAAACGTCCCAGGTGCAGGAGAATGTCAACCCTAAACCCTAACCCCCCCGGGACCCAGTTCGGGCTTTCCCGAACTTTTGCCGAAGCCTTCGGCCCCAGAAGATTGAGGTTAACCCCAGACACGACCTGTCGATTGGCACATATGCCTACAATTAATTGACCCCTGAACCAACCCCAATGTAGATAAATGTGCCGGCCCCATGGATGGTCTGGGAACACCTTCTGACCAAAGGTGAAGCCGAATGCCGCGGGGTCCGCCCCAGGCCACGCCTGAGCTCCTTAAACCTGGCGAGCATTGTCGGCAGCGCCTGCCCATTGCCTTTGAGCTCCTTGAGCCGGGCATGCGCCTGCCCCGCAGGCGCCTGCGGTGGGAGAGCGGGGGGGGGCAGAGCGGATCTGATCTCCAACCCCCAAAATGAACGAGTTTGGACTCCGTCGCCAGTTCAGTATATCGAGTACATTATAGAGAATCTTGCAGCGCTTATTTCCGCAATCATTGACAAAAAAATAGTATAATTTGCGGGAATTGAAGAAACATGCCGCGCTGCATTCCCAGAAACACGCGCGACTTGCTTTTAGCAAGCTTCACAAAAACACACCGCACACTGACACGGGCAAACACGCCGCAAACATTGTCAAACGCTGCATAATATGTTTGTTTTTGTTTCGACTTGAGGTCCAAACCCCGAATTGAGTCAAAATGCCGCAATCCTAGAAACACGCCGCAACCCTAAAATAGTCGCGGCATTTCTTCAAAACCTGGCTTTTCCTGAGCGGAATCAAAATTTTCATGCCAGTGGAGTCTGATATTATATGCTTCCATGTTTGAACACGACCCGTTTCGGCATGAAATCCCGTACGATTCGTTTGGTGTGACCGTGCAAATCCAAAACACTTCTGAATTCCACCCAGACCTCTCGACCTCGTTTCGAAGCCGGAAACACGTCGGTCTTTTGGGCCGCGGGGCAGTCGACGGGTCGGAGATGCACATAATAAATGCCCGGATCAAGATATATTTCAACATCGTCTTCCGTCATTGTTAATTTAGTGACTTTAGAGGCATTCTATGAACGTTTAGCAACATGTTCCTATAAAATGCTAAATTTAGCAAAAAGCGTCAAAGCTATAAAATAAGGTAAGTAGCAATGGAAACAAACAAAACAGCAGGCCTATAAAATGACCATATCAGATTGACCATGAAAAAAGGATCAATAAATCCACAGTCTATAAAATGCCCATGGAGGGTCCTACAAGTACTGCAAAAAAAAGAAAGGTGAACAGCAACAGAAATTCAGCAAATATAAAAAAGTCTAACACCTGCCCATGCTTCTAAAATGCCCGCCCAGACCATGTCCCAGTATCAAATCTCAGAAACATCTCCTCTGCCGAGCAAATGCCCCACTCTGAGAGCCTCGAAATCCTTACAAGTCAAAAAATTGGACCTCATACCTCCAAATCCCTCCAAGACACAGCAAGATCCAGTCTGTGTCCCACCCATTTTGCCTTTTTCTAATTGTTGGGTCAGATTTTGGCCATGTATAAAAACACATCGTTATGTTTTTCAAAGGCAAACACCGGTGGGGGATTCAAACCAAACTACCAGGGCCCTTAATTAGGCCACGTGACCTTTGGGGAGTCTCTGAGACAGAGACCTCTTCGGGCCTGAGGAGGCCACCTTCATCCGAGATCGAAGGGCCGAAGTTTCGCTGGTTTTTGGAAAGGAAGAGCTAGCTAGCTAGACCGTCTCTGGACAATTCGGTGCTTGATGAATGCAGACAACAGTCCTTGGCACATGCGAAAGAAAGAAAGAGCTGAAGAGAAGCAGACTCGTCCGCCCGGCGGGGAAACCTTTTGAAATCGCCCCGAATCACCAAGAAGTAGACCTTTGAAATCCTTTGAGGTCCAAAATGGTCCTCAGCTCACCCAACTCAAATGATTCCAAGTGCGGATTTGGTGAAGAAGCTCGAACCGAAGACCTGAGAAGGGTCCGAACATGTCCCATGTCTGCCTCTCCCAGCTCACCAAGCTCCAGCTCTCCACTGAGCTCTAGCTCTGCTTCCTTGGCACGGTGACCCGGTGGCATGTCTGCAACTCGATGACCAGGTCGGCGGCCATGTCTGTCGTGTGGGGGGCTCCTTTGTTCGTCCAAAGGCAGGATAGGACCTACCACCTATACCCTAGGGATCCAAGTACCTTCTCAGAAGGTGATTGGAGACACTGTTATGTAGGCTTGGAGGGTCCAGTCGTACCTTCTGAGAAGGTGATTGGATCCCTAGGGATACACATCCTAAAAGCCTGTATACCTGGTGTGATTCCTGAAGCATCGAAATTGCAAGCAAAAGAGGAGACCTTGGTTCGAACGCAGCACCAGTTTGTTGGGATCAACTTATGAGAAGTCACAAGGGCTCAGCGAGAGTTCTGGGTCTTTCAGGCGAAAGCAGCTGGAATCGTCCAAGGAGATGCACCAACCAACCAACCAACCTGCCTGCCTGCTTGCCTACCTACCTGCCTGCCTCCCTACCCCTACTCTAGATCTAATCTACTCTACCTACTCTACCTGCTCAACTTGCTCAACCTGCCCAACCCAAAGCCAAGAGAGGCCCAACACCACGGCCGTCCCACCGGTGCCAAGGCTCAGCGATACCTAACGACGTCGACTCCGGTCGACCGGTGTCAACCACGGTCAACCCGTCGCAACGGAGGGGAAAAACCAGGTAAGACATGGTCGAAAGCATTCTCAAGGAAGAAAAGCTTTCAAAGCTTTCAATCTATATGTGTTTGAGTTTTGGTGAGTTCCTTCTGGCAAGACTAGTCATTTTTTTCGGCATGATGAGGCCAAGTCCCCCCGCAATCTTGAAAGCGATTTGCATGAGTTTGCATGTTTGATTCCAAACGTGAGTTCTTCATCCATTTGAAGTGGCTTGCCGGCTTGCTGACACACTACACCATGTTTGAGCACATGGCAACCCACTGTGAAGTACACAGCACACAGCACACCATCTAAAACCGCGTGGCATTTGTCACAAGAATTCCTCATCTGTCATATGTCTTCGCTCTTGGGCCGCTATATACTATGGCCAAACATTCGGACAATGGTTTGGGATCCTTCTTGGAGCCGGAATGCTTCTGAAAAGGAAGGCTTCTCCCAAATTGTTCACCTCTCTTGCACCATGTCGTTCATGTTCAGAAGAGATGCACCCACACCCAAAGCTGACACCAAAATGCTCGACTCGATCCTCATAGAAACAAAAGGTGGGCCCACGAGTTTAGGCTAGAAACGATGTCCAATATACATTGATATGTTATGAGATGTCAAGAGGGTATTTTTAATGACCCCAGGTTTACGATGTCCTGGGACCACCTAATTGATATGACTTATATCATCTTATATCATATGTATTTGGGGATCTTATACACCGAGATGCCATTCAGGTCACCTAGGGAGGTGAGGCTCCCACTCGAGCGCGAGGCCGCGACATCGCCTGGGCAGAGTGGGAGGAAGGCAGGGCAGCCAGGCGGGGGGTCCAACAGTTTGGTGTGAGACTGGAAGGATTGCGGGGCGAAACGCCAGGATTTGCTCCAAGTGCACCTGTTCTTGCGGCCAGTCGGGGTGCTCTGGAGTGTCCCAATCCGCTTTGGAGAGACCAAGGGCTCTTTGGACCGTCTGGGCGGTTGATCTTTTTGGAGAAAATCGTTGGATTCCAAATCCCAGACCAGAGTTTGTACCAGTGAGTATACCGGAGTGGAAGACTTTGTGGAGAGACTTCTTTGGCTAAGGAGGCTAGGCGGCTAGGCGGTGTACATTTTGGGAATTCCATCCAATTCCTCAGTCGCTAAGCCATGCTAAGCCCCTCTGCTTTGCCTTTGTTTTGCAAAGACGCTGCAGTACGCCCCATGTGAACCTCAGCACCAAGCACCGCGCGAAGAACGCGAGCGCCACCGCGCAACCCGCGCGCCGCCGTCGGTTGCGTCGCGTCGCGGCGCGCCAAAAGCGCCTCGCGGGGAGCCTCCTGTGGTTCTCAGCACCTTTGAGGACGTCCTGAAGGGACGCGGCGGAGGGCTCGGCGGAGCTGGGCTGGTTTGAAACACGCATGTGGCTGTGAGGAGATGGCGGGAGGATTGGGAGATCATGGTCCATGGTTTATTCGCATGTCCAGTGATCTTTGTTGCGATATCCTCTTGTTTGTGGAGATGGTGGGTATGGTGGGGTGATCTTCAAGCCAGCCGAGAGCTCTGCAGTGTGGGCAGAGCGGGCATGAGATTCTCAGCCTGAGTTTGAGTGGTGCTGAGCAGGTGGGTGGCTGCTGTAGGCCCAGCGCAATGGTGATAGTCGTATTTACTGGAGTACAGTGTACAGTGGTTTCAAAGAAAGATTCCACAATTCCCCCAAAAAAGGGTGGTTTATATAGTACCCCCATCTAAAAGACATCTTTGCGTTTGCGCCATCTTCTCTGAAACCACTGTAGTGGGAGAGCCAAGTCGACTACGGCCGAGTTGTGTGTCTTCTGACTTGGGAATATGATGATCATGAGAACCCCAACACTCCATGGGACTGGGATATATGCCGACATCATTGACCCCAAAATTCACCCATCCCAAGGTAAATAGGCCATATTTTAGACCATATATGGAGTATCTGGGATTTGAGAACCATGATGGACCGTGCACGTACTGTATCTGGTCTTTCAGCAGAGATTGACCGAGAAGGTGAGTGGAAAATCCAAGACCAAACCGAGCTTGACAAGAGAAAAATTACCAGCGAATCGCTGGCCAGGTGTCTGTTTCTTGGGGGAGGTCTTCGGTCTTCAGACCAGATCTAGAGGGTGTCAGATACAAATGGTGTGATGACTTAAATCATTGGGTGGTGAGGTGGTGAAAATCCATGTGGTGGAAACCATGTGAAAAGAACGAAGCACATCACGTCCCCTCAGCACATCGTGCTTCCAAGCCGTCTCAGCACATCGTGCTTCCAACGCTCCGACGATCGACGTGGTCCATCGAAGCACACCGATGGAGGCTTTCCCCCTGCCTCAAAGGCTCGCTCTCCTCCGTCTCAGCACGACCTGGAAGGGTTTGAAGATGGATCTGAGATTGTGAGGTGTTTGGCGATTTTTTCGATTTACGAAGTGGTGATTAATCCGTGTCAGATCATTGCAAGGAAAGAACAGTATTTGGCCATGTCAGGTCAGGTCCCCAACAAAACTTGAGTCCCAATCACTTGCAGAGTCCAAGGTGCATGCTTCCTTTGAGAGACAGGCTGCCTGAGTAGGTGGGTAGGTGGGAACCTGAAGTTGATCTCCAGAATCTTTCATCTCAGGAGCAACTCCTTTTGGCTGATGTGTTGGACTGTGTATGGTTTGGAGGCTGACATTCTCTGTTTCCACCCTCGACATGTTTCCAGCAAACGTATCCGAGAATCACTGGGCCTTCCCTGGCCTGCCCTCGTGACACATCAGGCTTGCTACACCTCTATCAAAACTCCAGCAACACAAAGAGTATTTTAAACAAATAGAAAACATTAGGAAACCCTTATATTTGTTCGGTCAAAACCATAGAAAGCCATAATGAAAGCCCTTTATAAGGCTCCCATTCCTCCTTTTTCACATCAAAAGGCAAAGGCTCAGCTCCGCCAAACCGAAACCGGACCTCCAGTTCGGGGCGCACCCCCGGGCTCCACTGGGCGCCCCGAACGGAGCTGCAAGGGCTCTAAGCTTCGACTTCCAAAGCCCAGGGAGGAGACCTTCGGACGGAGCGAAGAGTCGTCATGGTACGCAGCACTGGAGTGTGTCTGGGTGCCCGGAGGTTGGAGACCGGAGCCTTGTAGGATGGTTCATTTTGGTGACCCCTTCCTTGGATGATCCTGGTACGTGATAAGGGTATCCAACATGGTCTAAACTGGCCGACAGGGATGACCTCCCCCCTGTATGAAGAATGCATGGAACTTGGGGAGCGAGGAATCCTCGCCCCCTGGCTGGGTAGACTGGTCTATCTTCCAAGGGATCAAACTGGAAGGTCGAGACCTATTTTAAGCCTAGGGCCTCACCCCTCCCTCCACCTGAAGGTGCTTGGCCATCCAAAACCGCACTGGGTCGGACCCCACAGCCAACCGAATCCCGTCCCAACAGTCGACCCAGCAGTGTGGGGTGGATGACCCAGCAGAATAGACCACTACGGAGGTCACCTACCAGTGTTAAGAGCCAGATCCACCTCAGGATCCCTCTCCCAGCTCGCTCTCCCAGTGGCAGTGCCGCGGCTGGCGATCGTCAGCGACGGGCAGGTGGTGGCAATGCTGGTGGCCGACGTGGCGCGGCCCAGCTCCAGCCTCGCGGTCGCTCCCGCGGTCGCATCGCGACGGGGACGTGGCGGGGTGGTGGTCGATTCATTCGGTGGCGCTTGGGAGTTTGGAAGTGGGTGGCGCTTCCTTCGAAAGGGTTCATCGAATGGGTGTGTAATGGTGTGTAAGTTGTGTGCCACGTGTACTGGTGGATTGTTGAGGATTCTTGGAGGCCTGAACGAACAGGATGCAGAGGTGAACAAACATCAAGTCAACCCAGGATCACCAATTCCATACTGCTTTCCTGAAGCATTGGAGTTTGATGTGGAGTAGCCTCATGGGATGGTGGTGAAATGCTGAAAGTTTCAACCAGCTTAATTTGCATCCCTTGCAACTCAAAAGATGATTTGACGATTCCTTAACATGGAGAGGCAAAATTTGCTTTTAGAAGATTCAAAGCCGTACGAACTGTTGTGCAAGCTGTGCTGGTTGCAGTGTCCACTACTCCTCTTCACAAAAAAGAGAGGCAGTTAGGCGTTTTCACGCACTCATCAAGCAACAAAGGCTTTTTCAAGGCTCAAACACATCCATCCAATGTGTATATGGTGTGTATTCGGGGTCTCGACCTCCCTGGCGCCCCGTCGTTTCCACCTTCCAGGAGTTTGGACGGTCTCCCTGTGTCAATACACACCCGTATATATGGCAATCACACCGTTTGGGCCAAGTGACAAGCCGTTCTCTAAGCCACCAGAGCGGTGTCCTGGTGAGAAGCACCGGTTGTTCAGTGGAAGATTGGTGTTCTTTGGAAGCACTCGCCTCCAACCTAATGTAGACTCTTGACTAATAAACCCTCCCATATTTGACTACATTAGAAGCGATGGCCTCCAACCAACGGAGCGATGGCCTTCAAAACACGATTTCGCCACAGGAACAACCATTCGCCACAGAAGACTCCAGCACCACAGTGGTGATGTTCCGGAGATATGTTCCGACATGTATCCCATTCGCGTGGTTTGGATGTTGTTCAGAGCTGCAATCGATCTCGGTTTGTGGACATGGATCGGTCTGCCCTTCGGCCAGCCCACCGGGCGCCGTTTCATCGTGCGCTCCCATCCGAGAAACCATCCAAAACCCGCGCCTGAACGTTTATGGGTGCTCTGAAGGCCTGACTGAAAGCCCCTCATAGGTGGTGGAGAGCACAAGGAACCCTGTGAGGGTAGACATGATCCTTGAATTGAAGGACTCATGCTGTAGCTCTTCCCGTCCGCCACCCGCCACCCCAAACCATTGGGCGTGTTCGGTGTCTTCCATGCTCTTCGACAACAAAAACATCAATCCCATTCAATCCCTCTTTGTTTTGAAGTAATGTGGACTTTTGATGAATAAACCCTCCATTTGAAGAGGATTTCCAATTACAATGAGGGGGGGTTATTAATCAAGAGTCTACATTAAGCTTCCATGCCATTCCATGACCCTTTTTGGAACTCAACTCTAGTTCCATCATGTTCCATCAAAGTTCCACAATCGAAACTTCACCCTCACCCCACTCCCTGTCTTCTACATGACACCCCACTCGCTCCCACATGTCTTCACCGCCCAAACTGACTGGTGCGACGCTTTAGGGAAGGAGGAAGGAGGCCTGGCTGGAAACAGGGCGCTCGAAAAACCGGAGCACTCCAGAACTCCCCCGACCTTTTTCCCACCACGAACCTCCTCGAAAAACGCGACCTTCGTCCGTCCAAGTCCGCCAAGCGCGCCTAAGCGCGCCCGCCCGTGGTCCGCCGTGCCTCGCCCGGTGGTCTTCCTTCGGTCTGCGGAGCGCAGGAACTCCCGCGCCTCCTGCGGAGCGAGGACCCGGACCTCTTCGGCGTCCGAACGGCGCACGGGATGGAGGAACCGGGCGACTTCGGGGGCACCCCGCGGGTCGGTCTGGAACGGCCCGGAACGGCCCGGAACGCGGAGGCGGTGCCCCGCAGCGTGCGAACCGGCGCCGCCTCTTTTCTGTTCCGGACGCGTCGCGACGCGTCGCCGAGCTTCGAAGCGAGGTCGGTCGATCCGGATCCTCAGGATCCGACCGAGCTCGACCAGCAGCGAGGAGAAGCTGCATGACGTAGACGACCAGCGGAAGCGAGAGGTTTTTGCGGGGCTGTTAGCGGGAACTTTGTTCCTTGGATGGTCAGTGGGCGGTCAAGTGCTGCAGATCAAGATGTTGTCCAAATGCGGCGCCCTGTGATCACAATTAGAGGTTGCCAAAGTGTGCATCTCGATCGGGTTCTTCCTCGTATGCTATGTCCAGGAAGCCCGCCCAGCGACGCTCATGTGCCGTGAAACCGGCATTGGCACAATCAATCGCAGAGAAGCCTGCCTCCCTGCAGTCTCGGGCATTGAAGCCAGCAGTCTTCCAATCAAGGGCTGAGGAAAAAATGCGTTTCAGTTCTCTCACTGGGTAGCCTGCACTTCTGCAGTCACACACCGTGAAGCCAGCGGCCTTGCACTCTTGAGCTGAAAATCCACCAATCTCTTTGCATTGTGTGGCAGTGAAGTTTGCATCTTTGCACTTTCCGGTCATGTGTCCTGGATGGCTTTCTCAATCGAAGACATGAGAATCAATGTCAAAGTCTATGTTTCATTTGCCAAGTTCCACAAGATGCGGTCCTATTCTAGATGTCTGATTGTTAGTGAAGTTCTTTCTCCCTGGTTCTTGAAAGTGACCTTTTGATAACCTGGTTTGAGGTCACTTAAGTCTCCTAAGGGTCACTTAGGAACCTTCAAAAGGTCACTTTGAAGAAGCTTTAAGCACCCCCACATGCAGCTTTTCTTATGAAGTGCTCACGCTCGAAGACAAAGCACCTCTCCTCGCTCCAAAAGCTCTTGGGCATTCACGCCCTTCTGCAAGTAGCGCCCCACCAGCAGGAGCCGCACCCGTTCTGCCACCTCGGAATGGGTCACATCCTCCAGCCACCGCGTGCGCAAGGCCCGAATCGGCTGAAAGATGTTGGCCTCGCGGCGGGGAACAATAGCTGGGAGACTCCATGATGGGACTGGCATATTGTTACATCAATATTACATCCATTGACCCCTGAAAAATAACATGTACATACATGCACTGTTTTTTCCACGTGCATGTCTTGCTTTCCGTTTCAGGCTTCGTTGATCTCGGACTATTTGGAAGAAAATCCCAAATGAATCCAGCCTGTGAGTGGACATCCAACCAGCGTGTTGCGTCTTGTTGCTTTGTTGCTTGATTTCATGCCTTCATCGCATGGACTCGGCATCTGAACCCCCTTTTGTGCCACCTTTTTCTTCGTGGAGCTCGATGTTTGACGGGGGGAGTAGCTACATGTAGCTACCATCCTCCCCCTCTTCCCCCCTCGTCTCCCGGTCCCCGGATCCTCCAACGAACCAGGACCGAACCGACCGCGCGCGTGTGTTGGCACGGCAAGGAGACATCTCGTTTGGTTCAGCGGGGGCCCAGGAGCCTCGATCCTCGGGGTTCCCGTCTCCCCCAAACAAGATGGATCTTAAGCTCGTTTGGTCGGGTTTTGGGGTCAGACCATGAAGCGAAAACTCCATTGAAGGGGCGTGGGCCGATCTTGGTCGTCCGTTTTTTCCACACCCACAAGGGCGCTTGGTGGCGTCGACGGGTCAGCGTTTGAGTTCAGAAACTACAAGGGTCCTTCATGGTCCTTCTAATAGGGGGTGGTGAATGGACACCAACTTCACTTTCTTTTTTGGGGGGGGCGAATCTTCGACACCCTCAGTCTGGTGCCATACTTCTACCAACTCAGACCACCCAAGAGCAGCTCACACCGCGGCCTCCGTCACTTGGAAATGCTGCAAGACGAGCATCGATGGGTGGCTGAGGACGTCTTGCAGTACGTCTGGCAGCCTGTCTGCACGGATCACCTGGTAGTTGTGGAAGAATGCACCTCCCCCTCCCCTCATCATCCTTTCTGGATCTTTCTGGGCCAGAAACCCTGGGATCTAAAACCATAAAAGAAAACCACATCTTGCCAAGCACTGAGCACCAGATCACCTCATCAGCCGCCTCCTCCACTTGCGCGGCCACCGCTTTGAGCTCATTTGACTCCACAAGGGCATCCAGCTTCTTCCTACAGTAAATGCAACCACCAACGAACGAACCAACCACGAGCACATCAACATACGCACAGCACGGCACGGACATTCACCGCACCCAAAACGTTCGGCTCTTTAGGGCCGAACGAGAGCCGCAAAGACAGCGAGCCCATGGCCCATCGCCAAACAGAACTGCTCCTCTCAAAAAGAACACCTGAAGTTCCATGGTTTCCGGTCCTCATATGACCTGAGTGGAGTAACTTCACTACCCTGACTTCACTTACCCTCCGATCAGTTCGGCACCCGGGGTTCTGCTACTGCTGGAAGTTTCTGCTACTTGCTGATGAAGCTTCTGAACAGCCCCTTGGTGCTGCTTCAAAATGGCGCGCCGAAAGAAGGGGATGGAGATTCCCTTGGAGATGCTCACAATGGCCGAGAACCCTGTGAGACCAAAGGCATGAAAACCTGAATATCTCATCAGCAGCACCACAGCAATGCTCCCTTGTGGGCAGTCTTCAGCCCAGGCAATCAATAAACGAGAACTACTCCTCGAGTTCGAACGGAAGATCGAGCGGAAGGGTGGAAGTGTGGAAGGGTGGAGAATGGTGGAATGGTGTATTTTTGGTTCGACATGTTCTTGGAGATTCATTCTCCCAGAAAATGTTTGTGGCCTTCGTAGATTGCCTGATTTATCTCTCAAAGCTCTGGCTTTCTACCGCAAACTCCTAAGAAACCTAAACTCCTAAGGCCACTAGGAATTCCTAAGATTTGGCCTGCACTTGGGAAATCACCATACTAAAAAACTCTACCACCCGCAAAACTCCAGGAAAAGAAACTTCCAACTCACCGTATGTTTCAGAACAAAAAAAAAAGTTGTAGAAAAGTCAGTACTGTCCAAACGGTGGAATCACCTCAAGTGAAAGAGTGGATTGACTGGGTGTGTTTTTCCTCCAAAACGAAAGAATGACGGAAAAGCACAAAATCTAGTCTAGATGTGTTTGGGAAAGAATGAATCTAGTATACAGTTGTGCTGTGTGTTAACAATGAATTTGTTGAAAATCTTTTCTTCCACACGATCTTAACGAACATCACGATGAGCAAGTCTTTTTCGGCCATGTCTCAGGAAATACAAGCACTGGTTCCGGGCATGTCTTTTGATCCAAGCACACCAGGTTTCGTTTGATCCAAGCGTGGCAGGCTTGAGAGGCAGTTCTAGAATTGGCCAATAGGTCTTTTGTAGATCTCTCTTGCAGTCGTCGTCCATGGTGGTGTGGATGTGCGAGTAGAGTATCACATAGATGGAGCAAACGGCCAAAAGCCCACCATCAGTGAGGTGTAGCCACACTGCTTCTGAAAAGCGAATGCATGTTTCATTGAATTCCAAAAAGAAGGCGACGACCACCAGCGCAATTAACGACACGGCCCACCAAGCGTCAATGTCGCCGCAACAAAGAGAAACCACCATGTACGGAACAATCACGGAGAGGTTCAGTTGTGTGGCAATCAGCACAGCAAAGGTCACCTGGCCCGTCCCAACTCAAGACAACGAACGCCCAGAACGAGGGCAAAGGAGACTCTAAAGTAGATGGAACATGCATCGAACATACTGGTTTGGAACCATGTGTTGTTTTTTTCTATATATAATATGGAAGTCAAATCTAGATCACACAGCTAAAGTAATTGTAACACCATGGTGTGCCTGCAGAACCAAGAGTGGAGGGCTGATATGCAAGCTGTCAGAAATGCGACACCACCGTGGGTAAAAGCCGGCTCCCAATGCAACCACTTCCAGTGCAACAATGCCCGCTCCAATCATGAAGCCTGTCTGCCCTTGGGCATGTAGAAAGCAAATGCCTGTGATGACCCAATCCTTCATGGTGTCACATGGCTCAGTAATGAGAGGCATAGTGAACTGAAGCACAGTCAAAAAAGTCGAGGATTGCAAGGCATAGGCGTCCTGTTGACACATGGGCGGGTGCCTACAACGTGTCTCCTGACGACTCAACTGCGGGTGCCGTGCCTAACCAACCAAACTATGTGATTCGCCGGTCGAAATCACTCTAAACCTGTATTTCTTCCAAGGAGCCAACAGAACACATCGGATGAGATTCTGGGTAAAGAGCATCCACAAGCACAGTTGCTGCCACAAAGCCCAGAGCTCCCAAGCAAAATCTCCTCCGCGCTTGGTCGTGATCCAACCATTCATCAAACCAACGGCCACCATGCTCACACATATGACATGGTACCTGAGAAGCCACACCGATTCATCAGTCTCTCAAACCAAGATTCATCTGAATTTGCATAACCAAAATACACTCACTGGAACTAACATGGAAGTGGACAATGGCCTCTTGGAAGACCACTTTCCTTTACAAACAGGGTGTTTTCCCCTTCCATGTTAGTTGCTGAAGACAAATCGAAGACGTTGTGTAATCTAAGTTCATGCATACGCTCGAGTCACAGTTTTCCTTCCTTGCAACCAAGGATTTCGTCCGGCCAGACCGTGGACGAGGTACGAAATGATACCCACCGTGGAAGAGATTCGAGCACAAGACCCGCTCATCACCAAAGCATCCGCCTCGTCTTGCCAAGACGCTTAGGATTTGATGAAGAACGACGATCAATGTGTGGAAAATGAATCACACCCCCCCTTGACAAATCACCCGTTCCACTCAAATTGGCTAATGACGTTTGACGGTTCGAGTGAACAAGGTTAAACATCGAAAGATCGAGCACTTCTGGGCGTTGGGTGTGCGTCCAGCCACACCCCTCTTTTGTCCCACTCCAATCCTCCATGTTGATGTCCGTCGTACGCCTGTCTCCGTGGACCAGCAGCGAACCCTTTGAGTCCGTTGTGCGAGACGTGCGTGGCGAAGGACACTCGGAGTCGCTCTCTTCGCTGTCCAGCAACATGTAAAGGCCTCAAGGCGACAGTAGTCGGGTCCAGTCGGGTCCAGTCCAGTCGAGTGCACGCCCCCAAAACGTTACACGAAGAAATCCGGAGTTGATGTTTTAAACTCTAAAAGGATAGGGCTTGAGGACTCTCTGGCAATCTCCATCGTCTGTGCTTTTGGCCAGGTCTGAAGACAGTGGCTTTGGGTATTTCAGGAGGTCTATACGTTGGAGAATGAGAAAACAAGCGGTTTTTTCAAGGAGATTGCCTACTGCAGCGCAAACGTATTTACTTAACTGCACTTTCAAGACAGGCTCCTGAAAAGGACCTCTGAGAGAGAAGTGCATTTTCTGGATATTTCACTGTACAGTTAGGCTGCTGACAGTCACGACTAGCGTGCTGCTGAGGGATGGCAGGGGAGGGGTTGTTAATGTTCTGTCGATTGTATTGGACCATGATTTAAATCGAAATAATGATGGCAGAAACGCCGAAACAAACCTATTATACGTTAGTCAGTTTGTCTTGGCTAAATAGTTTCTAACTATCCAAACACAAAAGAAGCACCCACAAGCACCCACTAACAGCAAGTCTGCATCCTTTCGTTTCTCATTCCGTTGGCATCTTGTGAAGCAGCCTGGCTTGACCAATGAGAAAAACTCTGCACTTTGAAGAACCGACAAAGCTAATCTGGGTAAAACTGGCGCGACCGGGTGGTGTGGGATCACTGGCCGAAACGGCACAAAATGCCGTGCTGTGGCCCAGAAGTTGGTGTGAGCTAGCCGCACCAGCAGGATGGATTCGGCTAGGCTAGGCTCCAACAACCAGGTTATACCTTCCATACAATACCTTCCAAAGGCACTGGTCAACGCAGATAGGACTAATTTTGTTGAAACCCACTGGTCAAAGCAAGTCTGATATTTAATGCTGGACCTTGTTGGACTATATTGCCTTCACTTCACTCGTTCCAACGGGGCGAAACACTCGCGCCGCGCGTGTCTCTGTCACCAAGGCGCCTCGTCCTTTCGCCCAGGCGAAGCCAAGGCGCAGCACCTCGCAGGTGAGCGCCATGAGAACGGGCGACAGCCTGAGAATCGAACAGACTCGAGGCGTTGAACGAGCGAAGACACGTGTCGGTGGAGGTTGGGTTGGAAGGCGAAGAGACGGACATTGAGAAGAAAGACGACATTGGGGATATGGCTGACACCGCACAAAAGGCCAAACCAGTACAGTAAAGATGTTCCAGCATGTGAATTCGGTGCTACGTTTATTCACGTTTATTCAGTAAACACTCCAAAAACTGGTTTAAAAAAACTGGTTCTACACTCGATGGAAAGTGTTGTGTTTCACTCTGCTGAACTCGGCCCAACCGTTCCGTGTTCCACCCGGCCGGTTCGAGCCACCGGGGCGACGGAAGGGACTTCAAAATCCCGGACCATCCATGGGACGAAAGAATCATTTACCCACCCTTGGCTTCCAACAACCATTCATTTAATAAGCTGAATCCCGAATCAACTAAGGATTTTACACTATAAAATCCAGGTCAACCATTCTTTTAATGGTCTTGGAAGTTTAGGGCCTACCCAGACACTCCATGGGACTGCCCTATATGCCGCCCCATTGACCCCTTTTCAACCAACCCAATGTATGCAAATATGCCAGTCCCATGGGTCGCGTCAGGGCTACATGGATTTCGATGGATTTCGAGTGGAAGACTTACACCTTAAATATCACCTCAACTGATTGGTTCTTGTTCGTCCAGTTCCTGGATTGGCCATGCGTCAATTGAGTGCTGGGTCAACTGACCTGTCTGACACTCCTGACCTGTCTGACACTGACCGATCTCACCTGAGTCTAAGTGACAAAAAACATCCATCACCTCCCAATTAAATGCAACTCATGGGCGCCCAACAATTATGTTGACACTATGTTGACACTCCAATTTCCAAGCTGCTGACCATGGGTTCTGGATTGGCAAATGGATGCAAATGGTAAGTGAGATTGGTTGAGGGTCCCCGAAATGGTGTGGGTTTCAATTTCCTAAGAAATAGGCTTTGCAGGTGATATCAAGATGAAGCTTCTCAGGGATGGGTGGATGATGCTGGTTAATGGTTAGTAAAGGCCTTGCTCAAAAATAATGATAATCGCTTGCTGACTGTTACAGGTAATAGGACACACCCAATGTAGTTAAGAATCCTAAATTTATCCATCTAGGTCTAGGACCTTCTAAGTCTAGCCCACACATCTGGGTGTGGCCAGAAACCCTGGTATGGATCGTTCCGCGCTGCAGCGAGAGTGATCCAAACCCTATGGATCAGAGCGCTGATCCAAGCCCTATGGATCAAACCGACAAGTCACTGATCCAAGCCCCCGATATAAACACATCTGCATGGTGGCGCTCCACCCCACCACTTTCTCACCAGTTCACTGTGAAGGTGGTGGCTTCCACGATCAAGGCCATCCTGTTCGTGGCAAGCCTGTTTTGAAGTACTGGCCGCCGCTAAATTCATTGGGCTCCACTGTCCACATATTGGGCCATGGTTGGGTAGAGTGGGTGGCAATGGGCGCTGGTTCACTTTTGGGCTAACAAGAGGCCTTGCGGATTGAAGTTTTCGGGGTCCACTAACCTCATTTCTCCAACCCTTGTTTTGGCTCAAGAAGACGATACAAGAAGCCCAAAGTCCACAAGTCATCCAGAAGCTCACACAGCTCAGTCGTCAGGGCGCTTAGCAATCATCATGGCCTTTACAACTCTGCGTAGGCTCAAGCTCTGGTCTGTTTTCGTGTTACTGGACGCCACTAAGGCCATTAGCCACGCAAATTGGTGATTCAGTGGGCTCTCAAGTCATTTAATAGGTGGTGGCTTGACAGCTCTCTGGACTGGAGGCTCACTCCGAACACTGGTTAGTGGCTGCCGCTAATTCTGTTTGTCCTTCCACTATCTTGTCTTCTGGCACCTTCTTTAATATGGTAAGGTTGGGTTGGCTCCTCCACTCAGAGGCGAGAATGGGAAGTCCACCCTTTTTCAACTTTGAATTTGCAGTTGAATCTAGTGGCTTCCGCTAAATCTGTGGTGGTGGTAATAGTAGTGATAGTAGTGAGTAGCAGTAGCAGCAGTAGTGGAGCTGTTGTAGTAGTAGCAGTGGTGGTAGCAACTGTAGTGGCAGTAGCAGTGTAGGAGTGGTGGCAGTAACAACTGTAGTAGCAGCAGAGGTAGTAGTAGTAGTAGTAGTAGTAGTTGTTGTTGTTGTTGTTGTTGTTGTTGTTGTTGTTGTGGCAGTGGTGGCACTAGTAGTTGTGTGATCCAAGGGCTTGGATCACACACCCACCTTTTGATCCATACCCTATGGATCGAGGTATGGATCGTATGTGGGTTTGAGTGTGTGATCCAAGCCTTATGTTCCTGGCCGTAGCCATATATCACAAGTCGTGGGGGACAATCCTGCATCTTGTTGGCGTTGGTCACCACAAACCCTGCCGGTTCATCATCGAGATCTTCCACCACCCACCGACCACGGACCGTCACTGCGTCTACCACCACCGACCGTAGACACGAGATCCTGGGGTCCTTGGACATCAGAAGGTGGTTGGACCCCCCTGGCACCCAGTCCCAACGGGCCCCAGTCCCACCGAACCGAAACGGAGGTGGGACAGGAGCCCAAACGGGATTTAAGAATAGACCGGTCGGTCTCCGCAATGCCTTCACCACCACGGAACGAGGGGTGGCGCCTTGACCTAATGGACACGCCTTACTGTAATATCCTCACCTCTTATTTCGGGGCGTGGCGTTTTTAAGGAACACACGGAACTTGTGGTGCTGGTGTTTGGGCGTGGCGTTTTCAGTTGAAAGAGAGGAATTCTGCTCAGGAACAAGAGGATGGCGCCCCAGTAGTGCAACCGCGAGGATGCCTCCTCCGCTTCAATGTCTGCGAGCTTCGGCAGAAACCGCGGCGGTGGCTCCGCCAACCAGTGCTTCGGAAAGCGTTCCAGGCGACATGTGATGTTGACGTCGCAGTCACTCCTCAATTGGGGACACGTTGTTTTGAGATCGTTTGGAAATGAAACCGGCAGAAAAAACATTGACCCCCAAAACCACCCCAACTGATCGGCAGTCCTGTGGCAGTCCCAAACAGGTCAGGTCTGGGCATTGAAATCGACTCTTCAAGCGGGGATCTATGGCACCCAAACCCCCACAAGGCAGGACAGCAGGTCACCACTCGGATCGCTGCGGGTGATTCGGTCCATCGAGTGGATGAAAACGAGATGAACATCAACGAGATCGTGGGTTCGATTGGGACTTGGACTCCCCCTTCTTCGACTATATCGAAGTAGGAGGACACCGTAGGATCCTGAAGGGGGAAAATCACTAGCCCCAAACACCAAAATCCAACGCCCTGCCAGTTCTTCCCTACCACTCCTTCACCTTCACCTATAGTCTACCAGCCTCAAGTCTACCAGTCGTCCTGTCTTCGCACCACTCCACCCGATCGACCCCGGTCCACCAGACTTAAGCCGCCCAAGCGTCCAAACCTGCACGCGGAAGAGGTCCGTCATCCAGCCCAGGAGGCCCATGACGTTGGGCACCGGCATCGTCCAGCCCACGTCCATCGGGTGAAACCAGCGACGTCCCGGCACCGACGTAAGGTCTCGGCGACACGTCCGGGAGGCCAGGGTTGGGGGTCTGTGAAGCGAACGGAAGCCTGAGGCGGTCAGATCTCTTGGGGGGTCGACTTTCTTGAACCTGAGGCCTGAGGGATCCAGTCGTACCGAACCTCGGGTACGGTGAAGAAGGAGGCACTGTTATGTAGATGCCAGGAGGGTCTAAGTACCTTCTGAGAAGGTACGACTGGATCCCTAGGGTGAGGGGGGGTGAGATATTTTGGGGGGACCCGACATCGTGGCGCGGGACCCGACATCGTGGTGCACCGTCGTGGTGGGGATCTTTAGGTGGGCACCGTGAGGTGGTTCGAAAGACATGCACCCGCAACTCCTTGAGCCCAGATCTGATGATGGAGGCTCCGAAAGACATGAGTTCGACGGAACATGTCATGGGACTCGGACAAACTGGCCCAATTCGTCAAACGAACCACTCCTCGAATTCAGTCGTTCAGTCATTCAGTCTCACTTATGGCAGGTATAGAAGCTATAGGCCAAAGTCCATTCATTCCGAATATCTTTGAGGCTCTCCTGTCACTTGCATGGCTACCTCACATGATCAGGTTATATCAGGTTCCATGTGTGCCCGCAAGCTACGGATTGACCCGGACAGCTTGAGAACTTGAGGGATGGCTACCCACCCACTACAAGTACCGGCCCATCTTATTTCCCTATCCCTAGGGCTCCAACCATCTCCTCAGAAGGTGGTTAGACCCCCCAACCCCACCCCAACCATCTTCTCAGGAGGTGATTGGAGCCCTGGGGTATATCATTCCTTTCTTCAGAGATCGTCCGCGTCGCCGTTTCTCCCGCAAATGCCCTCCGTCTGACCGGCGCGTCTGACCCTGGACACTGGGTCCGATCCAGGACACCGTTGCGGAACGAGTGGGTTCGGACGCAGGAAGTTGCCCCCCAAGCCAGGTGGTTGGTACGACTCCCAAGCGTTTTGGGGCTTCTGATAGCCCCTTACATTAACCACCCAACTCAGTGGGTCCTGGTATGAAGCCCGATCTGCAGGGCATCTTAGGGGCTGCAGGACACCCCATCAACGAGTGGAGTTCCAGGACACTCCGCAAAAAGAACCGTCCTGATACCCATCCCTTTTTTGCCGTATTACCTGCCCGTCCCTTGATGGCAGCTCTTTTGGAACTCTGGTTTTGAAGTGTTACTTCAAGCATCTTCAATCAATCACCTCAAAACCTCTCCCAACATACCACTTAGCATCACTTAGCTGAGGTCCCTCGTGACCCGACCAGAAAATACCATCTCATGGCCAACTCACCCAAGAAGCTCATGGCTTGGGTCTATCCTATTACCAGTAACAGTGGATGATTGGATGATGGTTAGAAAAGCCCAATCACGCATCCTTTCTCTAAAATAGTCAGTGATCTAAGTGTTTACTGACTGTTACAGGTAAGAACGGACAGACCCATCTCATGGCCAACATTTTCCAGTGCGGAACCCTCGAAGTGACCTCTCCTGGATGTGGAACTGGTCGTGTCATTGATAGGTATACCGGTATACCATGCATGGTAGGAGAAACCACTGTCTCCCGGGGCCATTGCTCGCCAAAGATAGTGAATGGTGTGAAATCCAACGAAGGTTAACAGCTTGTGTAGGCAAGTGGCCATTCTTGGAACTTTAGACCTGTCCAGTCCGAAGAATCTATGCGCAAACCGGATCTTCCCGCAGGGGACATTGCCCCAAGTAAAGGTGTCCATGGTTTTGTACGATGGGTCTGTGACTGCAACGCAACGCGCAACGCCCAAACACCCGGTTCCGCGGCCGGTTCCGCGAAGGACGAAAACGCCCATCGCACCGGTCAGTACGGTCTCGTTCCGGTCTCGAAGCACCGCGCCGCACGAAGTTCCGCATGACTCTCCGTCGGGAGCGCGACGAAGCCGTCCGCGTCCCGCGTCCCGCGTCACGTTTCGTGTTTCGCCACCTGCACGATGGACAGGGGCGATCGTACGGTTCTAGGGGCGCCCACCGGCGCTAAAGCCTCAGCAGGTTTGTGTGGAAGGCGGCACACGGTGGGGCCACCGTATGAGGGGTCGACCTGACCTTGGGTTTAGGAGCCAAAAGAGTTCTTCGGTTTTCATGGTCATGTTAACTCAATGGTGTTCAATGGTGTTTCATGTTCAAATGATTCATTTGGTAACAAGAAGCTATAAGAAGCTACTATAGGGGCTCCTGGCCTTACTAGGAGTGATCGGACGCTACGAACGGGGCTCCTGGCATCGCTACTAGCGGGGCTCTTGGCCGAGGAGGACGGTGGGCCACTGAGACGTCACCCCAGCTCAGTATCTTCCTTGGTATGGGATGAAAACAACGGTCCACCATGGATTTCATCCCCAACAACCATTGATTTTAGATGGGTTTTCAGGATTTAGACAGGCAAAACCAGGTCAACTATCTTCTAAATGGTCTTGGAAGGCTATGGTGTCGATTCAGAACATCACCCAACGAGATGCAAGCGCATTGATGGACACCCATGAGCATGAGCGGCCTCCCTGCTGCCTCCCTCTCCCTACATCCAGGCAAAAAAACTAGAGCTAGTGGGTCTAACATGGTCTAACCAGTCATTCCACAGACTACATCCATAGACCCCTGTTCCTCACCCATCCGGGACTGGAAGATATGCCGCCCCATTGACCCCCTCCCCTACGTCTAATCACCACCCGTGACATCTATGGCAGTCCCATGACAGTCCCATGTCCCGCGCCGGCTCTGTATATGGTCGGAATCCACTGGGATCCAGGTCACCAGGGATGGCTCTGAACCCAATCGCAAGGCGCGAACTCGTTGTGTGGCTCAAGCCTACACGCCTCAACAGCCCAACCTGACTCATCTGCACCTTGACTGGTCCCTACTACCCACCTCCCTACCCACCTCCGACCTGGAATGCCGACACCCTGTGCCCCGAGCCTCATTGGCTTCTGACAGGTCCACCTGTCTCATCGTTCCACCCCCGCGCGAACGTGAACCCACGTGGTGTTTCCACCCACGCAGCGTCCCACGCGAGGCGCGCTTGAGCCAACGCTTGCGAGGCAGATCGAGGCAGCGGCACGGGATCGGCCCCCAAGGCTGGCCGTTTCTGGTGGCTCCACCCCTTCCGTGGTGCACTCAAATTCAACAATGCTATAGGCAATGGTTTGTGGTATGACCTCTGATGCATGCAAGCTCCCAAACATGGTGAAGCCCATCTTCTTCACGATTTCACACACAAATGGATCACTTCCCCAAGCAAGCTATAGGCAGTGCTATAGGCATGCTGATTCTATCCCTATAGGGATCCAGTCGTACCTTCTGAGAAGGTACGACTGGACCCTCCTGGCACCTACATAACAGTGTCTCCTTCTTCACCGTACCTCAGGTTCGGTACGACTGAATCCCGGTATTTGATGCTCACCGAAGCTGAGCAACCGACATCGATCGATGCAAAAAGGCCGCCCACCCGGAAACACCTCTCCTCCACCCGTGGCTTTGGCGAAAGGAGGCGGGCTCGGAATGAGGTACATCGTGGCTTTTACAGAGGTTTCAGAGTAGATGGCACAGACCCCAAGAGGTGGTCTATATGCATCCCCACCTAAAAGACATCTTGGAGGTTGTGCCATCTACTCTGAAAACCACTGTAAATGCCGTGATGGACAACTCTTCCCGCCACCACTGCGAGTCTCAGTCCTCTTCACCGGGTGTCGGTGAGCTCAGCTCGGGCGTGTGAGACCCAAACACTGACCCCAAACACTCCAATTGTTTGGCCACGGCCTATCTACATACATTGCTTTTGGTGATGTGTATGGGGTCAAACAGGAAAATGGAAGATCATTGTCCCCTGTTTTGGTCAGGTCTTCCAGTCCCAAACAGCTCGTGGGGCCAGCTGATAGGTCAGCGATTACCTCGACGATGTCTGCCGGTCTGCTCGGGGGTGGGGTGGAAGTTTCAGCATATTTAGATCCGAAAGGTGGTGGAATCTGGCTCTGACTGTGGAATCTGGGGTTCCTCTTTGAAGGTCATGATATATTCATGATCATACCCAAACACTCCATGTATGCCATACATGCTTACATTGAACCCCAAAACCACCTCAACTGATCGGCATATGTGGCAGTCCCATGGAGTGTCTGGGATAGTTCATTTCTAGTTCGGGAAATAGCCCTGAGGTTTGAGGACCTCGCAGGTGAGTTGATCTTCAAATCTTCAACCTCCACCTCTGTGCCCTTTGGCCTCCTCTAATGACTTTCAGTCTGGGCGTCCAAGACATTTCCTTGCTGAAGTAAAGGAAGATTCCTTTCAGGTCTCTCACGATGAGGGTTTTCGCCAGCCATGAGGAACCCTCATTGCCCCGACATTGGTGATATTTCAGAATTCTCGACCCCACACATTCCATCAACCTGCATCTGAATCTCCAATCTTCAGTGTGTCGAGAATTCAATGTTAATTTCTTCACAAAAAGGATTTAAACGGGTTTCAAGTTTCAACATGTTTCAACCATTTCAACCCACTTGGGACCTACCGTGGATCTCCCAACTTGGGACGTACTTAGCGCACTTCGTGACCACGTTGGACGTGGCGTCAAACACGTGGAGCCAACGACCTGGAGCCCCAGTCCGGCGCGAACAACACCAGGCGGAGCCATTGGCCAAAGAGGCTCTCGAGCCAAGAGCCCATGACACGCCGGTCCAGGTGGGCCCCCCTTTCACTCCACCACTGGATCTCCACAGCTCCAAAGAACTCTCTGCACCTGGCATTGGACTTCCAGCGGGCACACTCACAAGCTCCTGGCACAGCAAGCGGACGGCCGGGGTGGCCGTTTTTTTTAACCGTTCATTCCAAAAGACGTTTGGTCTTCATCATCCTCTCATCCCCACTTGAAACGCATAGGTCATGCGTCGAAACTTCTCGTTGCACTGCAATGACTCTGCCCCTCGGATCTCGTCGACCGAACGGCGGCTCACGCAGTCGAATCGGCTGGAGGCACCACGTATAGGTGATCGCCACGTCTTACGGTCTGTCTCACTCCCACGTTAGCCACACATGAGGTACCAACGTGGTCTTTCACGGAAGACAGGGCGGGTTGAACATATGACGTTCGGCTCACGAAAAAAACCAAAACAGCTGACCATCATGTGTTCCGTCTTAGAGAGCTACGTCTCGCCTACGTCTCCCTCATGTGGAAAACACGGATGAACACATGAGGGTGGTGGCGCTACTAAGACTCTATGGAGACAGCGAGACGGCTCAGAAATGTGATATGATCATCGGAACACCCACTGGGAAGGCGAACATAGATCACCTGGCGCTCCCTTAAGGTTGTTTTGTAAGCCATAGGCTATAGGCATATCCTAGATCTCTAGAAAGCGTTGCGTATCATTCAGTTTGGGAAATGTCGACATTTTCTACAATCTAGGTCTACTCTGCTTGGACTTTGTGCAGCCACTATATGAGTCACGAGGCAACGGCTGTTGGTTTTCTAGAAACCTATCCTTTTCGGTAATGGTACTTTCTGCATTCTGCACAGTCTCTTCTGTCCCTTTTTCAGCGTGAATCACAGATCGAGGTCTAAAACTAGGACAACACGATGGTCTCAGCCTTTCTGTCAGGTTTTGCTCGGGTTCTTTCAGCAAATAGCAACATGATTGAGGCATGCTACTTGCTTCAGTACTGTTGGCAGGTCAGACTCCACTCTCCGATGTTCGTTTCGGCAATGTTTATGATTACAGCTCCAAAATATCATGGTTCAACCCAAAACGGCATTCAATTTCAACAGAAGGGTCACCATGTCGATCTAACCTCTAAACACACGCTTTCTCATATCAAACAAACTGACCTTTGGAAGCACCGGGCCCGAACCAGTTAAGCTGACTCAACATCTGTATGGGCCTCACCTAATGGTAGACCAGTTGGAGTTGACGAAACCTGGAACTCTGAAGGAACTCCCAACTCAACGTCCCATGTTCTTGAAGCCCATATTCTCCAATGATATCGCATCAAACCCTATCAAAACTCTAACATCAAACCCTAACACTCCATTCTCCCAAACCCTTCACCCAATTCACTCTTCCCGCCGCCTCCCAAAACACCGGCAGTAGTTCTACCCCATCCACTTCACCCAGCTGGGAACGACCAACTGGTCCCACAGCCCCCGGGTCCGGTCGGAGCTCCGCCAGCTGGTAGCACCAGCCCCGTGTCTCCGGGCGCCACGTCTCGGCCTCGGCGGAAGGAACACGCGGTGGGCGCGGGGCATCCGCGGTGAAGCGGGTTTGGGGTGCGGGTTTGGGGCGGTGGACCTGGGCCAGTCGGGAACGCTTCGACTCCTGTGGGGATATAGGTCGACAAACCAGCACCCGACTCTATAGGCTGTTAGTTGAGGGTTGTTGGACCCTGTCGAAGCGGTCGAACCATTGGTGACCTGTCGGAGGGTCCTGGTAGATGTCTATATAGGTATTAATAAGCTAGTACTGTGTATAACATGCAAGAGTTCCAACCTCTTGATTGAGGCCAATTGGAACACGAGAGACATCAACTATAGCATCAATACTCTTCACATAGCAGAAAGCCCGGTGCGGAACAAAGAACGTTGCACAACACGGGGAGCCTCTCCAAATCCTTCATGTCAGAAGCACGTCTCGATACTCAATAGCTTGACCGGCTTGACCCTGGATCCTTCCTGTATTGATTTGCGACGGTGCCACTCGAGCTCTTTCGTTGCCACGGAGCGACCGTGGCCAGAGAAACATCATCAACATCCCACTGGCGTCCTTACGTCCACACCGCTGAGTCTGCCGAAATCAATAGTATACCAACAACCCTGCCAGTCATGATAATGACGCATGTTGAACATTGAAACCTTTTTGAGAATACCAACTGCAGGAACCAAAATCCAATAATGTATACGTGATTCAGAACCCCCCAGTTGAATTGAACATCCTCTTCATATGGAAGGTCTATGAAATCAAGAGTCTACCAGCACTCTCCAACAGGTCACCACCTGTGAGGACTTTTCTTCGTTTCCAGCCACCAGGCCCCAAAAACCTGTTAGGATGCTCCATGGTACATTTCTTGATGCTATACGGTATCCAAAGGTATCCATCTTCCCATCCCCTTTGGTTCACCCCCAAAAAGACGCCTCGTTCTTCGCCGCGCGTTTCTGCTTGGAGCCCAGGCCTCGCCCTCAGAGCCGCTGCTTTCCGAGGTGCCTGACACCTGGCGACCACGGTGACGTCGGTCTTTGACGCCGTCCGGGGCAGTGAAAGGTTGGTGGCTGGGATGAAGGGATGAAGGCCAGGTGAAGGGCTGAAGAGTTGGGAAGGGCTGAGGTAGAGGTCTTGAGGTCTTCCTCTGGTCTTCCTCTGGTCTTCCTCTTCTTCCAACTTGCAAGGGAAGGAGTCACGTTCGACGGGGTGCCGAACTTGGAGGTGGTCGGGGTGCCCCTGTCACATCCACTCACTGGATGGGACTAAAACCCACCCCGACGACTCCTGATGTGCCAATGAATCAAGATTGGCTGTCCTTCTTGTGATGTTCTTCAAAAGATATTGGGTATACTCCGAAACACAAGACCTCTTTGCAGAGCCTCCAGATTCATGGATTCATAAGCATTGCAAAACCGCATGGGTCCCAGGATGCCCCGTGGTCCGCCTTCACAACCCGAAACACACACTCGCCTCGGCTCCACCGAGGCGAAAGCCTTTGCTGAGATCCTCGAGCCTCGGAGCCGCGAAGTAGTCCAGGGCGGCTTCGTGGGGGTGGCAGTCCAGTTTCATGGGATGGGAGACCGGAAGGAGTGGAGACCCCGTTGGAGTGCACATACCCACCCCCCCAAAAAAAAACAGCGCCGGACTCCGCGGAGTGGCGTTAGCTTTTATCACCCGCGCAGCGGCTTGCGCAAGCTGGCGCAAGCTTGCGCAAGCTTGCTTAAGGCAGCGGTTTTGTGGCTCGTTGAAGTGGGGTGTTCTTCTCCTTTGGTCGAACTTCACGGGTGAAGTACTGGGGGCTCCTGCTCATTGGGCTCTGCTCTTGGTATTGGCCTGCCCGGCTTCCCGGATCGAAACGGTGCATGGGTCGGGAGACCTCTCTGTGCTAACACCAGGCCATGACGCCACCTCCAGCGGTGAGTTCCATTGATGAGGCGAAACGCACGGAGGGGGACGGAGTGACGGAGTGACGTCGGGTTTTTCGTTCCGGTGTCCGGGACGAAAACGACCTGGAACTGAGGGTAGGACATCTTCGGGACATCCAGGAAATCCACCCAAACATACCCAGAAGTTGCCGGAAGTGGAAGAAAAATGCAGGGACCACGACCCAAAGCATGTTCGTTGGATGGCATTTGGGACCCCAAAACTGCCAAAACTGGGTCCTGGCCATTCACGGCACCATGCGCCACGCTTCCCGTTGCTTCACAACTGGCGCCAGTCGCTTCATGCCCAGTTGCGTCGGCTCCACCTCCACCTCGCCTGCGACCGTCCGACGTGTCGTTGCGAAGCCCAGTTGGGTTTGTCCGAGACAAGAGATTCTGGAGGAGACAAACAACAAATTAAGGTGGAAGACTGACTTTTGAACACGTTATAGAATAACTACACCAGAGAAACCCTGACCATGCCAAACTTTCCCGCTAATTTTGGCCGTTTGATCCTTCACCATCCTTGATGGCCTGTGCCACCATCGCGTGAGGGCTTCTCCTCCTCAAAGGTGTTCAAGGCTTCCAAGTCTTCATCGTCAATGAACTTGTCATTCAAGTCATAGAAGTCGTCCAACCTCGTCCAACGCGCGTGCCAGCCCGGTCAGGTCAGCGCTCGGTCGAATGTCAAGTCAGCGCGGTCGAATGGAAGGTTGATCCGGAGCCGTTTCTCTGGAAGGTGAATCGAACTTTGTTGGTTTTGGGGTGTGGAAACCAAGGCCCCAAACAAGCTTAATTAGAGGTACCACCGGCCTTACCACCAGCCTTTTCCTGGGTGCCGAAGTTAGAAGGTACTTAGTTCGCTCCAGGTGGTCCGCCATGTTTCCCCCTCCCGATTCACACCCAAACACCAAGAGAAATCCGGCAACGAAACCGAAAGCTTCCACACCAACCCCCAAACAGCCGCCTTTTCCAGCCCTATCCATCACCAGCTGTGCATGTCTCCAGCCGATTCTCGGAATCACCCGGTGTCACAAAGGCTGTTCATGGCCACTATTTCAAGTCACCACTCTCCTCACGTTTCCTCCAAGACCAATTAAGTCCTCAACTGAGTACTCAACTGCCATTACTGCACCACTCAGACATAACCTTGAACATCCTTAGTCAGAACGTTTCTCACCCCACACCCACCTCAAAACATACAACACCCCAGCGCCCTCCGACAGGTCACACATTAAAAATTGAGACCGGCCTAACAACCTTCCATTTTGGAGACCTGTAGAGGAGACCTGTGCTGGTTGCTACAGCTCCGTGTCTCAAATGTTTATCCTTTTTCCACCGAGGAGCTCCTGTTTCCATTTCCGCACCTTGGTCTTCTTCTTCCTCGCGATGATCGTCTCCGGCGCTGCGAGGATCCCCTGCTTCGCCAGGCGGCTCTCCATGCTTCGGATCACCTGAAGGCTCAGCTGGGCCGCGAGGGCAGCGAGTCTGCCCGGCTTTCGTGGTCAACGGCGCGCAGCTGGGCCGTATGCTACTGTGCAGCTGGGCCAAAACAGTCCCTCAAAGCTGGATTGATGAGGAAACCGATGGTTCCATATATAGGGACCAATCTCTCCATATCATCCCTCCACTGAGAGGTCTCCAGAAGTGGATCTGATGGATGACCAACATCGACGGATCCATGGACCTTACACCGGTCTATCAAGGTGATTCGTTGGGTCTATCTAGTACTACCACCAGCACCGATTCCAGGCGTCCATTCATAGCCCCAAGGATGGTTTCCGGATATGCGGACAAAGCTTTGTAGAAAGTGTTGATCGTACGGGTGTTCTGCGTTTTCGACAAAAAATACCAAGCTTTCGCCTCACTCAAGGGATCCTTCTTCCCGATCTGCTCGAGGCCGCCCTCCTGCGATTTCGCCCCACACGGTGTGCAGGGGGGAAAGCGAAAAACATCAGATTAAAAAACGAGGTGCGGAGAATCCTCCAAAGCAAGCCTAGGCTAGGTGCACTGGTATGCATCATTATGCATCAAATGGACCAATCAAAAAAATGCAAAGCAGGTGAAGGATGGTGTAGGATGGTGAACAGACTGAGAGTATGGTCAAGTTAGGGGGTTAGACTTGGAGTTCCCATGAGTTCCCCATGCGTTTCCCATGCGTTTCCCGGTAGGCCACCATGTCGTATACCATCCATTATGTCGCGGCGCCGCATGGGAACGATGGGCCCGAAATCGCTCCGGAAGAAATCGGATTCGACTCCACTCCACAATCTCACTCCCAGACGCGACAAATGGGACTGCCATATATATGCCGCCCCATTGACCCCCGAAACCCCCAATGTAAGCATATATGGCATACATGGAGTGTCTGGGACTTGTTGGTCTACCAAGTCTGACTGACTCCCGTCCAGCACTTCTGCTGAGCGCTTCAAACTAGAAGAGGCAGAGGCGGAAGCCGCCTATTCGCGGCGGCTGAAGGGAGGCCGGGTTTGGGTGCCAAGATGGGGCGAAGATGGGGGGGCATTCAAAAGGAGAAGCGGTACTTCCGAATGCTAGGGTTTCAAAACCCTGGCTTTGGACCTTAGGGTTTCAAAACCCTAACCTTCCGTGGTGCTCGAAAAAGTCGGAGCCACTCACCCTACCGCGAAGAACCGTCCTGTCTGGGGATCCCAGGGAGATGAGCGCAGGGTAGTGCCAGGACACAAAGACAGGATGATCCTGGTAGACAAGACCCTAGGGATCCTTTTTCGTACCAAACCTCAGGTTTGGTGCGACTGGACCCTCCTGGCACCTACATAACAATGTCTCCGATCATCAAACCTGAGAAGGTACGACTGGATCCCTACTCAGGAATCCAATCAAATCCACCGGGCCGCGGGTTTCTGTGGACTAGAAAATCGGTTCCCTTTTAGGGGAAACCAAGGAGAAGTGAGTTCTGTAGCTGATCATCTCATCGAGGAAGCCAAACAAAACTTCCCTGATTTGCTGGATTTGCCACGGCGTTCAGGAAAATCCTGGGGTCCTGGCCACCATGTGTTGTTCTTTGGAAAGCTTTGGAATGGTAAGAGCGTCTTTGGGGTCTTTGGGGTGACAATCAACCATTCCCATGAAGCAAATCTCCAAAAAGGCAAACTGCTTTGCATTCTCTGTGCGTGTATCCACCAACAAATAAAGCCTGGGGGCTCATCACTTCTTCCCACAACATGTTTTGCAGGTCCACCTGACACACACTCCAAAAACCGGCTGTGTAGATGTCATGTAGCTTGTGGTTTGTAAGGATAATACGGTGAAAGCCTCCAATGTAGACGGTTGATTGATGAAAAAAGATACCTGAAGATGCTGTCCCATCTAGATCAGAGAGGGTTTACTAATCAACGGTTTACATTAAATACGAGCGTTATGTGTTTCACCAGTTCGTTCTCCACCAATATTCCTCTTCAACACGTGTTTATGCAACCTTGACCGCAACAGTTAATGCTTGAAGGACTGAGTGCAGAAGTTGGAGTATCAGAAGTTCTTCACACACCCGACTTCACAAGTGCGTGAACTCGTTTTCAGAAGTCTTGCAACCAACGCAGCACACTGTCTCATTACTTTGTGGCTTTGTGGGTCAAGCAAAAGATTTGCCTACAACCACCAGCTGGCATAGTTACTTCCAAATATGCCTATCTGCAGCTGGATCTGACTTATTCGTTATAGGCACTGGCACTGCATGTTCTTCTGGTTTTGGAGAAGCATTCGAACACTTTGGCGAACGCGATCCATGGGAATGGTCCGTTGTGGAGGAGGAGGCATGCACCCATAGACATCAGTCAAGGAGTATGCAACCCTACAGGGTCTTACGGACCTCATTTGACTGGGTCCGGTGATGCAAAACCAGTACGAAAAATGAGGTTTTCAGGACCAGGTTGGTCCTTGGTCCGACTGGACCAGGTAGGGCAAGACTCTACAGTCAACTCTACAGGTGTTGGTGTCCATTTTACTCAGCGGGGGGATGGGTTTTTGGATCCAAAGCAATACAAGTTTAGTGTATGATGTGAGAAGTTAAAACCAAGTCACCAAGTCGATCATATTCTGTGGTTCCTGATCTGGCTGTGGTTCGGACCAGGATACCGACTGGATACCGACCGATACCGACCAAGCACACCAGGATACCGAGGAAAGTCCTGCCGACGGTGGACGGGCGTCGGGCTCCTTTTGGACACGCTCGGTCACCCGTCGGTCTGTCTTCGACGGATTGGAGTTTCTTCGCGGCATATGGTGGTCACGGTGGTGATGGCCCCGAAAACACCCCTCGACTGGTCCGATCTGAAGGTTCACGTTGCGTTTTCAGCGGAGCAACCCCACAAGGCCAGACCGGAAGTGCATGGGTAGAGTCCAACAACATTCTAGCCAAAACATCGCACTCAATCCATGGGAAGAGAGATCCAGGACCTCAACTCATTGGATCTGTTTGTACAAAAAACACTCAAAGCAGGGTATTACACGACGTGCTGCACGACGTGACAAGCTCGGTCAGATTGGATCGGTAGGGTAAGGAAGGCGCCGTATGGAATAGACATATCCTACCAGCACTCGACTACTCGACTCTACAGGTCTCCAAAATGGAGGGAAGTTGTGGAGGGCGCCTGATCTGTTAGACATGGGCAGACCCATGGGTCCGAAGCCGGGTCGCCGGTGAACGAAGCCGAGCTGTTCCAAGTCAGCTCTAATAAGCCATGTAAGCCATCTGACCCTTTCGACTTCAACAAACTAAAAGGGCCATAAAAGACTCAAGTGGGATATAGAAGACGAGGGGAAGGGATGGCAACATCTGACATTGCCTTTCAAACACGTTTAATGGTCTTATAATGTCTTATATATTAAAATATAGATCGAGCAAATGAACCCCTTTGACTCTTAATGGAATGTCTACTAGAAATACTGAAGCGTTCTTTGTGAAGGACTTGGATCATCAAGAGACTTCAAGAGACACAAAAAACTATTACAGTCACACCATCCATGAGCTTCCCCCTGACCACCATGCCGGTCGGTAGGCATTTGTTGAAACCCTCGGTGCCTCCTTCTCTTCGGCACGGGCAGTTTCAGGAGGCACCGAGGCACCAACCGGCCGAAACGGCACTCGGCTGGGTGAAACGTCACCGGACGGACCGGCGGTGTTCAGAAACTGTTTCGGCCCACCTGCTGGGTGTCGGCGGCAGGTTGGAGAGCGGTCGCTACAGCGGAAGAAGTGGAGGTGAGTTCCGTGCCGCCAAGGCGACGTAGGGGGGGTCAAACGCAGCACCGGTTTGCACAACACATTCCACCTCTAACGAAAGACTTTAGACCTCTTGTGCTCGGACCGAACATGTGTATGGCTGCACAAGCGTGTGTTCCTGCAAGCGTGTGGATGTTTGCATGTTTGCAAAAGGGGTGATGAGTGGAAGATCGCAAAAGGACAAACCTGACCCTTCAAGGGAGGTTTGTGTACGTAGTGGGCTGGGGCGTTTTGGTACATCCTTCACGCCAAACCCCCCGCCGCCCGAGGCTGCTCATCTGAGCCGCCGACAAGGCGAAGCTCGGCCGACCAACACGTGCTCTCACATTGATCGTCGGAAGGAGATGGACCCCATATCACACCTGGATGGATATACCCTAAACCTCCGATCGTCCCATCTCCTCAGGTGACCGGTGGGCGGTCTGTTGCCCCCTGGCACCCACCCCAACCATCGAATCTCAGGTGGTGGGACAGGAGCAAACGGGAATATCACACCCTCGTGCGACCTCAACCTTTCCTTCGGAGCTTCACTATCTCCAACTGGACCTGGATGGACCTGGAGGTGGATCTTAAGAGTGGGAAGGTATAGTGGTGGGGTGTCCATGGGAGACCCGTACCTTAAGACTCAATTGGCTCAATTCCCACATCTTGCAGCAAAAACAGGAGGTTCCGGAGAACAAAATGGCACCGTGGCTGGGATTTGAGCCAGGAAATCATTAAACTCGAGATGAATGCTGGGGAAGGGAAGGTCATTCATTGGCTGGGAAGAACTATTATACCTTAAACTCCTTCAACAAATCCCATCCTGGGAGTTCAACGTCCCATCACCAATTTCAATCCAAAGGTCTAATCTTCCACCAAATCCCATGATCTGTCACCCAAAGTTCTTCCTTTCATCCAAGCTGGCTTCCTATCCAGCCCCATCCATCTCCCCTGCTCCCCCACACCTCCATCCACACCTCCTTCCCACACCCTACGCGCCCTACGCGCCCTACCCGCACCTTGGAGGCCATCCTACCGCCCCTTCGCCGCCATTCGCACCAGCGGGGCTTCACACCAAGGCCGTGAGTGGAGGGCCGACGACCTGGCGCATGGGGCGTCGTCCGAACGTCCGGTCTGCCTGGACTCGACCTGTGCGTTGGTACCCAAAGGAGTACCTCAGTACGAGCTGTTTTTGATGGGGTCATGTGGGTCATGTGCCATTTTCTGAGGTGGAGGGTCCAGGAAGTTGAGTGGAGCAAATAGCTTCAACAGCTGAAATGCTCAGCAAGCTTGAACAGCTGTTGAATTAAGCTTGTTGATGTGCTTTCGGCTTGTTTTTTAGTGAGCAAACACGCTGGTGCCTTGGGGGCTGGGGTTGAGTTTTTCGCAACCTAGTTCCTTTGTCTTCGACTGGGTTTGACTGGGGTGAAAGTAGTACATGCGTTCAATGCGCTCGAGTCGGCATTGTTTTTTGGGTTTTGACCCGAACGCACCGTCTGCTGACCACATCCACATAATGGTGGTAGTGGTAGAGGGGTCCATGATCCTGGTGGAGTTTAGTTACCAAGTGAGTACCCTTAACCTCCATGGATCGCACACAGTCTCGTGACATATACTTGGACCATCCAATCGGTGTCCAATCGAGATCTCTAAGTAGTGTAGGGTAGTTCATTGGACACCCATGGCATGGTCCTGGTACCGGCAAAAAAGCATATATAGTGGATTGAGAGTAGATGGCATAGGTTAACCCAAGTTGGAGGTGGTGCAATTATGGACCTCAAGGTTTCAAAAAAAAGATTGGTTTCCTCTACAAACCAATGGTCCTTGGCGGCTCTATGGGGTTGTACTAAGGGTGTTTTGTTTGCCTTCCTCAATCCAGTCATTAGGAGGATCAAGAGGAATATCAATGCACCCTATCACAGGACATCTCAGGGGCTTTCAAGGGAATATACCTTTTTTGATGTCATTGCATGCCCAGTGTGCACATGTTGAGCAGCAAAGGGCAAAAAGGTCTTGAATAGCTAAAGAAAATGACAAAAGAATGCTTGTATACTACATGAAGGCAAACATACCAATACGTAGCACTTCCAAGGGGTTGCAGGGTTCTTCATTGGTGATCCTTTCGAAGTAGCTGGTAGACCCATTGGAAAAAAAAAAGAACAACACATCTTACACACCCTTTCGTTGGTGACGCCACATGGCCACATGGATCCCCGGATCCACCGAAAGTATGTTCCTGGGCCACCTACCAGGGTCGCGCCGTCTCCTACAGCGTCCATCGTCTTCTGAAAACTCCACCGGTTCCGATCTCAGTTCGGTGGCAGTACGATCTATAGGGTGTCTTAATATCTCCTTTTTGTTGTGTATAGGGGTGTGATCCATCAACAACCAAAGAAAAGAAACACAAACACTGCCGGACCCTCTCTTTCTTCTCTGTCTGTCGTGTCCACATGCCCCCCATCCCCGCTCCCCTGGTCGCCTTCCCCTTTGGGGAGAATTGGGCACCTCACGCCAGCTCGCGTGGCCGTTCGCGCCGCTAGAAATCAACGTTCCAGTCACTCTCGCGAGTATATTCCAGCGAGACCTGGAATTTGGGACCTCCTTTTGAATGTAGACAGTTGATGCAGTTGAGAAATGATCCACTTCCCCGACTGGACGCAGAATCTGAAGCTCGGGACTCTGGAGCTCTTCTCAATCCTGCTCCTTCATGGGTTTCTAATTCGTCCAGAGTCCACATGAGGCTCCGCGTTGCATGTCGTTGCACATCGCGAATTCCACCGGTCGACGTGCTTCACTCTCTTCCAGAAAATCCAATCCACGGGCCCCCGCCCGTGCGTTTTCGCAGGGCAAACCAGTGGGGTGACCAATCCCTGGTGTTTCGTGGACGGCGTAAGCCCCCAAAGACGAAAGGATCACCAAGACAGTGTTCCGAAGACCAAACAAACAGGTGGTGAACTTCATCCACGTGACCATGTGAATCAGGCAGATGGTGTTCTGTCTTTCTCTTATGGCTGGAGCGACAGCGGAAGTGATTCACTGCCAGGAAAATCCAAGCTCGGAAGAAGTGGCAAATCCACGGATGTCTGGTTCTGGAACAAATATATATATGAGACGAACAAAGGGGTCCATTTGTTCGTTTCTTCCAATTTCTTGAAAAACATGGCCAACATCAATGTGTTGTTGTTTCTGGTTTTGTTCGCATCCCGCCGGTCCAAAAAGTGTCCACCGGTCCAGGTCCACGAGGTCCAAGACCCGATGGCAGTGATAGATATCTGGCCCACTAATCTGGCCCATATCCTATATGAATACCAGGTTTCCAGATGTTTTAAGTGGATGATGGTGAGGTTGCAGGCCTTTCCATCCCTCTACAAGAGTGATGTTCTTGTGACGTGAAAACTGACAGCTCTACAGGTGGGACAAATCAATTGATATAGAGATGGCTGGATCCTGTGTGTGTGTTCCTTCCAGACACGTTGAACCAAACGGGCAAATGTCTTTTTGTACGTATACACTCCGTCATTGGCACCAGGAGTGTAGAACGGTTGACTAGGTCAATCGAAGGGCTTGGTGTCGGTCGTTCGCTACATGTTGGTTTTGACCCATCCCCATGAACATATTGCAGTACCCTATGGATATCTATGGATCCACATACCGAACCTGAGGTACGGTGATTGGAGACTATTTGTGCAGGCTTGGAGGGCCCAGTCATACTTTCTGAGAAGGTGCAAGTGGATCCATAGGAGTACAAAACCTCTTCGATTCTCACTCAGTCATCACCGAATGTGGATCATGGGTTGGAAGATCCTGCTCCCTACATCCAATCGTCAGGGAAGCTCAGCTACAGCTTTGGAGCAAACCCAATCAAAGGATCTTTGGATTAAACCTCCACCCAAAGGGTTCCTCGAACCACGACGTCTCCAGGATCACGAGACTCGTCTCACGACTGCCCGAACTAGCGGTGCCTTCGGCAGCTCTGGGGATCTGGGTCAACAAGGTCGGCAATGTTCGCCTGGGCTCTGCGTCGCGTGCGGCGCTCGTGCGCACGGTGATGGGCGAAGCGTGGCGTGATGGGCGAAGCCGGGTTGGCCCCGCGTGGCGTGAAGGCGACTTCAAATGCCCAGGGGCAGGAAATTGAGCTGATTACTGATACTGGAGCTGATTCATACCAAACACACAAACATGACTCACGTGGTGACTCCATGCTACCAACACTGGCACTTCGGCAGCTCATTTGAGTCTCTCACAAACTGATCAACCCTGGCGTTTCTATGCCAAAATGGTCCACCTCCATTCATTCATCCACCTCTGTAGCTTGAGAACTGACGAAGTAGAACCTCTAGAGCCCAACACGAAGTAGATGGATGCGCGGCTCTGTCTTCGTGGAGGTCTAAAGTGAAGGTTTTGGCTCCGGTTTGACCAACCCCAGACACTCCATGTACCCAGACGCAACCCTGGACCCCAACCTATGGTCGGACCCTATAGGTTTTGAGGGGTCATTGCATACATGGAGTGTCTGTGAACCTAGACACCACCAAGAAGCCTGGATACCACCCTCAGAAAGACCCCGAAAATTCCGCCACCCTTGGGCTGATCGGTCAATATGCCAGTCCCATGTCTCTGGGAAATAGAGGTCGAAATCGATGGAAGAAGGACCCTCCAGCCATTCATGTGGCCCTTTCAGGGTGGAGCATCTTCAGGCGTTTCCTTTGAGTCTTCAGAGTCCCTACCAACCACCCTCAGACCCCTACCGATCACCTCAAACACCAGGGCTGAACAAGTCTGTTTCTGCCGGAGAAGAAAGTTCACTGAGTCTACTGACTGACGAGACCCTTCCACCATCTCGCGAGCCATCTGAGCCTCTCGAACTCGGCCCGACCGGCGCGGCGTCGGGAAAGGCTGAGCCGAAGTGCTGTGCCCGGTGGCTTCTTTTCTCAGACGCGCCTTTGAACACAAGTCTTGTAGCTTATATATAATTGAATGAGTGTTCAATTATAATAGTAGTGACATTTAACTAATTACCTCTGCGAAAAATCCTTTAGGGAGCTCCATCCACAGCTATCCTTATCATCCTTCCACGCAAAACCAGTTCCTCGATATTCCGGCGTAGGATAGGAATGCTTCCTTGGCTTCTGCAGCGAAAGCTCACTCGACCCACAGAGGCCCAAGCAGTCCGCACAGCGGCGGACGCACTCGTTGGTCTCCCCTCCTCAGCAACCTAATAGCGATGGCCTCCGCCCTAATAGCAGTGGCCTCCAACCTAAGAGCGATGGCCTCCAATGCTAATAGCGATGGCCTCCGCCCTAATAGCACTGGCCTCCAACCTAATAGCAATGGCCTCCACCCAATTTGCAATCGCCTCCCACCTAAGAGCGATGGCCTCCAACCTAATAGCGCGATGGCCTCCAACTTAAGAGCGATGGCCTCCCCTTTTCAGGGCTGTTCTCCGAAAGTCCTGGACGGACAACGAGGGTAGCGGGGCGAATTTGCCCGGAGTAGTGCTTGACTCAGCTGGTGAAGCACTTCTCCCCCACAAGGGGCGACCACCACATCCCCAGCAAGCACGTTAGCCCATATGCCTTGCTGTCATACATCGCAACCGGCGATGCGTTGGCCCCAAGGATGTTACACCCAAGCGCCTGCACCCGGCCAGCGGTGCAACAACTCTTGCAAACCACAGGGTTCTCTGACGTACGTCATTCGAAGCCCTGCTGCATGCAGTTGAGGGTTGGCGCCACATCACTTCACGGAGCGAGTGTGCTGCACGCTCGAGGCAACGCTGTTTCCGTGCGGATGGTGCAGTCTCTGCGTATCTGCGAGTCTCTGCGAGTCTTGCCTTTCTTATAAACACGGCCGGGTCTCCCAGATCGGAGTCAAGTCCCACGCGCTTCCACCGCGACACACATATCGCGCGCGACGTGACGGGGTCGTGCCCGTCGCGCGCGGGACGGTGCGGCACGGTGTCATGCGCGCTCCGACCTCGATCAAGAGGCCCTCCAAGATCAGGAACTGCGCGTTCCTGGGGGAGAGAGGTCGGAACGCGGCGAGGCAGCCCCCAAACCCATCAGAAACGGGGTTCGCCCCTTGGATCGGGTTTCGCGCCATGGAAAGCGCGGGTTTCAGCTCGAGGGCTGAAAACATAGAGATGGCAGCTGGCAGCTGCATGTTGGAGGCAAAAGCACCGATTCAGTCGATGGTTCCGGAATTGGAGCAAATCAACCTCATAATCTTTGCTTTTGTCCACAGTTACAGCTTTCCAAAGACTTAATCCCCTCTCCCTAATAATAAACGGCCCCCCCCCCTATTAAAAAAAACCCTGGGGTGTTTTTACTAATAGGGGGTGTTTATTATTGAGGGGCACCTGTTGTACCCCCAAATGGGCAATGTTCTGTTCGCCCTAATAAAAAGTAGGGTCTCGAAAGAAAATCCCTGGGTTCCCAATCTAATTAATTATATAAAACCCTTGTTAAAACGACCATCAAAAAAACAACAAAGGGTCAAATCGAAGGTCTTCCCCCTCTTGTTGGTTTCCTAGACCAACTGTTGATGCACCCAATGAATGAAAACACATCGCTGCAAAGAGCAATGGATAGCGCAATCAGGAA